TATTCTCATGGTTGGATAATATCCCATTGTATACAACACATTTTGTTTATCCATTCACTAGTTTATGGACATTTGGGTTATTTCCACATTTTGTCTATTATAAAAACTACTACTATGATTATTCATTTACAAGTTTTCATGTGGACACATGTATTCCTTTCTTCTGAGTATAGACCTAGAAGTAGATTTGCTGAGTCCAATGGAATCTCTAGGTTTAACATTTTGAGAAACCACTATATGGTTTCCCAAAGTGGCTACCCCATTTTACATTCTCATCAGCTAAGTATGGAGTTCTGGTATGGTGCTGCGAGTTAATGAGCTGGACCGCAAGGTCAGTTTGAACTTCAAGGTCGGGGTTCAAGTTTGCCAGCCACTCCTCAGAAATCCTATACAGGATCGTTATGAGTTGGAACCAACGGGATGGCACTTAACAACAACAACGAGTGAACACTCCAATTTCTCCATAGTCAAGAAATGAAATGATATATCACAGTAGGAAAATCTGCTGCAAAAGACCTGTGTAAATTGTTAAAAAACAAAGATGGCACATTGAGGACTTAGGTGTGCTTAACCCAGGTCATGGAATTTTCAACAGCCTCACGTGCATGTGAAAAGTTGGACAATGGATAAGAAGAACTATAGAAGAATCAAAGCATTAGAATTACGGTGTTGGTGAAGATTATTGAAAGAATCATGAACTTCTGGAAGAACAAACAAATCTGTCTTAGAAGTACAAGCAGAGACTTCATCTCTTGTAATTTGTCATCAGAAGGTACCATTCCCTGAGGAAGGACATCATGTTTGGTAAAGTGGAGGGTCACTAAAAGAAAGGAAGTACCCCAACAAGATGGATTGACACCATGGCAGCAACAATGGGCTCAGATACAATTGTGAGGCTGGAGCAAGACCGGACCGTGTTTTGTTCTGTTGTGCATAAGGTCGCAATGAGTTGGAACTGACTCAACAGCACCTAACAACAACAACAACAACAGCAGCAGCAGTTTAAGATTTTTTTGTAACCCAGGTAATAGAAAAGGTGATAGAAATTTTACATCTGGAATAAAATAATAATAGTTCCTTTTCCCATGATGAAAGTGTGTTTGCCTTTTTCCTTCAGTCTATAGTCTATACCCTGTGTATTGACTTATTCGGCTGTGCCTGAAAAGCATTTTTATGCTTTCTGAAATTCTTAATGCATTTTTTTTATGTTTTATTGAATTGACTCTTGTAATCAGGCCATGTTGATGGGGGCATGAAATAGCCCCATTATCCCCAGAGTTCTGCCCACACCTAAGAGACCCTCTTTTTAATACCCCCAATGTCTGTGCTGAGGGTCACTCCGATACTGTGGCCGGGGTGTTTTTATGAATCTCAGGGAAGCCATTCTCCTGCTGAGCTAGCTTCACTCACACATTTCATTCATCTACAATAATAAGAATATCAATACCTTGGATTTATATAGAGCCTCTCATCCAAAGAGGTCAAAGCATTTTCATTTAATTGGATGTTCCCATGGCTTTAAGAGCCTCTGGGTATATTTACAAATGTAATAATAAGGAACAGTCTGCCCTGCTTTAGAATATAATAGACAACATAAAACAAGACCTGCACACATCCTACAACCGCCCTCACTGTACAGCCTTGGCAAATGCTTCGTCATGGGGTTCAAGGTCCTGTCTGAGCTGAGCTCTGTTCCTGTCTTCACCTTCTGGCACCACTTCTTCTCCATGAACCCACTGTTTCAGTCCCATTATTCCCTTGAACGCAGAATGCATGCTTTCATTCTGCACCTTCCAACTGCCTAGAAGACACTGGCTTGCCACTTTAGCTATGATTCTTTTGTCTGGTCCGGTTTAATTACATCCTACCTATTCCATGAAGCAGTGGGTGTGTAAGGGACTCAAACAGCCCAGCGATCATGAAGATGATGCAGGGCCGAACCTACGTAGGTCGCGTTGAGTTGGTGTTGAAACCATGGCAGCTAACAAGTTCATGAAGACTTCTATAGTCATCCTAGCCAACATTGGAAAGTTCCCACCGGGACGTCTACTGACATTGCATTTACGTTAACCATTCTTTGGGCAATGAATACCTGCTATGACTTACATTCTATCTTGACCCCATTATATACTTAGATGAAAGGAGGATTGCACTGTGTTTCAATCCAACAGAATTCTTACTGAGAGCCCTGGTCTGCAGGAGAGACTGATGACTACTGTTATCAGGTACTGTGGAGTCAGCTCTGACTCACAGTGACCCCTTGTATAGCAGAAGGAAATGGTCTTGGTTCTATGCCATCGTCACAATCACTGCTAGGGTTCAGCCCACTGTTAAAGCCA